ATATAAAGTCAATGGGTATTTTCAGATGCTGAGCAGCTCTTAACCCCCCCCCAAATCAGAGGACATGTCTTTGGATACTTGCATTCATACTCTTAACTTCATCCTAATCATTTGTTTAGCAAAAGAATTATCAGGCAAAAGTGATGCTGCAAAAATAGGATGTAAAAAGGAATGTAAAATCTTTGCATTTTCTCTAGAATTAAGACAGCTGGGAAATTCTGTCCTCCACCAGCAACTACAGCAGCCTCACAGCTGCTCTGCTTCCCACTTCCAGCTAACAGGCTTGTAGCTAAGAAAAGCTAGAGCACAGCAGTTCTCCACCCTCCCCTTGGCAATGCCCCTGTTCCTGTACCATTCTGTCACTGGCCCAAGAGCCAGGGAAAACCATCATACCAAGAGAGTTTCCAGCATAGTATGACACAACTGGTGTTTGCCACATTAACAGCCCTTTTATATCACCAGAAAAGTGCAAGAGGACTGAAAAACAGAAGAGGAATTAACTCACTCAATAGACAACATACCACTAGTTTCTTCAGGGATCCAGTTAGATTAAAGCTCTCTGCTGTGAGAGACCTCATAGAGATCCTTATTCGTAAGAGACTTCAGGCAGCTACTGTGCATGTTAGGGTTAGCAACAGGGGTTTAAAATGAGCAAATGAAAATGACCCTCAAGCTCTAAATGAAAACCAAAGGATGCCCTCAGTTGGTCAGGAGTGGAACTCTCTATAGACCATAATAATGACAATCCCAGGTTTGGGATGAGGGCTGTAAGAGCACAGTTGAAATCTAGACGAGCTGTAGATTAATTTTTAGGTGTACATGGGGTGATGGTGTGGAATGTAATTTTAGTCAGATAAGATGTCCCCAGTAGAAAGATCTTAATCTTTCAAGCAACTGCCTTTCTCAGTTCTGGCCCTGTTTCACACTCAACTGCTCCTACCTCCTTCCTGCTTTTCAGCCCCTTCCCTTGTAACAGGGCTGCAGAATCTTGAAATCCCCTGACAGTCTGTGTTCTTCTGGAAGAGATTGCCAGGGTCCCACTGTGACCAAAGCAAACAGCATTATGTCTCTTAATTGCTGTGTTTCTGATCTATGGCTGAGAAGACCCCATCTTCTTTAGCACAGTATCAAAGAATGGTTCATGTAGCCAGATATTGACTCAAAGGTAAATATGCATGGATACCATGCTACAAATTGTGGAGTTTCTCTCAGCCCTGTTTCAGTCAAAGTGGTCATGACCTACGGAAGTCCCCATAAGGACTGGAAAATGCATTGGATTTCCAGTCCTGTAAGCACTCATAATGCTCTAGCCTGAGAGCGCCTTTCAACTCATCCAGTCTTTGGGGTAAATGACCACTTCACAGCTCTGTAGACACATGCGAGACAAAAGAGAGGGGCAGTTACAACCTCAAGAGGAAGCAGTGTGAGTTGGGATCATCCTTGTCCCCTACACAATGTCTGAAGACATCTAAGGTAAGAAGGGCAGAGCAGGAACTTGTTTCTTGGCAGCTGTTGGAGAATGGCAGTCTTTGCTTAAGGGAAGAGGGCTGGGGTGACTTTCCAGTGTAAGAACCCCTCCTGTACAAGTGCCACATTTCCAAGCATAGATTGAGGTCAATTAATATATCATACAATTATGTCCACTGATACTATGAATGTAAGATGCAGTTCAAACAGCTGGAGATTCAGTACTAGATTCTAGCTTAAAACTTTACCAGCACTGGTAAAGTCACTATGACAGTGTGGAACCATTTGCTATGACGAAAGAGATGAGCCATGCAGCTCATGGGCATGGGCAGTCTCTACTGTGCTTCTCCACAATAAGCAGAGCATACTAATGCAAAACCCAGCAGTGCTCCCAAGTTGTGTTTGTGTTTTTGTTTTGGTTTTTTTTCCAGAAACCCTCTCTCCCCCCCTTTTGAAATTCAGTGATTGCTTGGGAAGAACCAAGGCATTTTAAATGTACTTTTCTGCAGATAGGGATAGATGAGACAGGAAAAAAATAAAGTGGAAACCGCTCAAATGAGGTAGCTGAGAAACAAACCACTCACCTGGGAGATCTGCTGAATACTTTCTTTAGCCCCTCAGCCAAGTCTCTGCAGGAGAATGTTTAAAGCTGGTGCAGTTAACTAGATATTCACAGACAGGACAATTAGGGAGATAAGGTGCCAAGCTGAGAGTCACAAGATTTTGTTGTAAATAACCTTTTACATAGCAGTGGGCAAGTCACTTCACTGCATGGTAGTTTTACCCGTCTGTAAAACAGAGATTATAACATTGACTTTTCTTCATGAAACACAACCTAAAGAACAAAAAATGCTATACAAGCCTAATTCAATCTTCTAACTGTGGGCTGATGACATCACTGATGTTTTCTTTATTCCCAGAACAGACTAATCACATATTAAATATCATGTGATTGCTGAGGCCTGCCTTCAGAGCATTAGGTGCTGCTGACAGTGGTTTGGAACTACTCTACTTAACACTTACATACACCAGCAATAGATGCAGTCTTCTGTGCTGGTCATTTCTCTGCTTCCTAAATATTTAGCAAAATTGTCACTGTAGATTAGTATTGCTATCCAGAACATGATCTCTAAGGCATGGTCCGTGCATGGAATATTCAACGGACATTAGTAGGACAGTTCAGTGATTAGTCCACATCTCCAGCTATTCTGTTCTCTTCCTATTGAACAGAAACAAAATAACAAGGTTGTGGATTTTCAGCAAGTGTAGAGAAAAATTCATCAGTGCTAAGGGAGGCTGCAAGAGCAAGTTCCAGCTCAAGTTGCTAGGGATGTATAATGCAATTTAAGAAATTAATTCCAAGAAAATCTGTTTTCTTGTCATTCAAGAACAGAGCCTGCAAACTGCTTCCACAATGATCACTGGCTGTTACCAGTGAGAAACCTGACCCACAACCACGCTGCTCAGAGGTGTTTTGAGCTCCAGAAATGGACCAGTGCCCCCTCCATCACTACCAGTTTCGTTTGCAAACAGAGTCCAGGCATAGCAGTGGGAGTCCCAGAGATTTCAATGCAGAGCTCTGCTGACACAGCTGCCTCCCTCATTTCAGGATTAGAGCCATCAGCTTGTAGCAGTAGAGGCTTATGAAGAAACCCAGTTCTTTGCTTATCCCCATGAGGACAGCAGCTCTCCCCAAACACAGTTAAGTGATTTTTAAATCCACATCTCAGTACCTGTAATGTCACAGTTACTATGGCAGCCGTGCCAGGTTTTTGTGCAGAGAGTGGTATTAAATAGCAGGGAGTATTATGAACAGAAAGGAATGGCAACTCAGTGCAACCTTGGAACTTTAGAATCCTATTGAAAGTAGCATCTACAAGTATTAAAATGCACCTATAGATTTTGCCAGTTTTTAAAATGTACTGAGAGAACTAATTAATTAATTGCTCACAAACCTCACTCTTTGGGGAAATCATCGTCTCATTCTGCATTAGCAGAAGAAGGAAGTAGGCAAAGGTGATGATCTGCAGAAAAGACTGCTTATGTTGTGGCAAACCGGTGACATCTAAATAAAAGGCACAGAATACAACTACTGGTGCATGGATAAATGCACAGTGTATGTCATACACATCCGTGTGTGTGTGCGCATGTGCGTGCACGTGTGTGCAAAGCAACAACCGTAACTTGAAAAGGCTTTTGCCTACTACTCATCTATGTTGTCCATCTGAAATCAGAGGATCAGAATCACATCTCCAAACCTTACCTAATGTATTTTTTATTTTGAGCTTGTTTTATTACTTCGCTTCAGAATAACTGAAAAATAATTAACAGTAGCATTCAGAACAAGCTAGTATGTGAATCTGGAAGAGACACTGAAACTAAGTCTATCCGTTGAGTTTGTCTTTCCTTAAAGACTTGCAGGACCACCCATTGCCTTACAGTGTCTAGGTAATAAGCATTGTGCAACCGAGGTGTAGGATGCTGCCAATACTACTCAGTTAACATATCTCTCAGCACTTGCGAGACTTCAGAAAGCACATTTTGACTGTTTTTTCCTCCCTTCAACCAAAACACTCATATCAAGCTGTGCCATATTTCGAGTATATTCTCAATATACTAATTTGCACTTTAAAACTCTAAAATAAATCCTACACTAAATAGCACTTTAAATTGTTTTACAAATGTCAAACAAGTCACACAGAGAAAACATACTATTCTCAGTCTATCCTCATGGGAATATGTGGAGCAAAATAGGTGAACCTGATGACCTATTTTTATTATTTACAGACAAGAGTAAATTTTACTCTATTTTCCAAATTCATGGCCTGCTGTAGTGTTTTCCATATATAGTGTCCTGTGCTAGCATTGCAAATACTGTATGTGCTTCAGAGGAGAGCATCAGAAAATGGATTGCTTTTTTTAAAATCCACATTCCGCTGTCGTATTTCCGTATGTAATGTACTCTGTGTGTCTAAAATATGTACAGCCATTCTGCACAACTGATACCAGAAATGCTATAAAACCATCTGGTTAAATTTTGGGGAGGGGAAGAACAGGAATTTTCTCCTCAGTAATGTTGCACACAGGTATCAATCAGCACAAACAGAATATACTCAAATACTAAAACACAACTCAGTCCACTGCCTCTCCAAAGCTCTGAGCGACAGCAGGCTTCATGACAAACAGGTCATTCATGCACCATCCGATGTCATCCAAAAACATAATCTGATTTCTAACCGCAGTCTTCTGCTCGCAGGACTAGGAACCAATGCACACCCGTTTCTGAAACTGCCCCTCTATGTGGAAGTACAGGTGGCTGCTGTTACACCTAACGTGATCATGTTTTGTTTCTCCTCCCACTTAACAAATTATTTTATTTTGGTGCAGTGCACAAGAACGCAGTGTCTAGGACAGACATGCTACCTTTTATAGTGTTGCTATAGAACTTGTTAGCTGTGAAGCCTTAATTTGCAGCTGGAAATCTAATAAACAGTGCATAGTGTTTCAATAGCCTTCTGCTTATATGTTTGAAGATTCGAAACTGAATGGTGAGGTGGCCAAGGCGGCGCTGGCAAACGAAGACTGTCCCCACATAGACCAGGCTATTACGCCTGATGAGGGCCTGCCCTTTACCCGCTCTGGCACTCGGGAGAGATATGGACCCTGCTTCCTCTTATCAACCGGGGAATATCCCTGCCCGCCTGATGGAGGAATAAGAAAGGGTATGTAGCTGGGGCCCTATAACCATGTAGTTAGCAACCATTTCAAATAGATAAGAGAAAGCCAGCTGTAGCTGTAGCACGCAATAGCGCGCTTGCTGTAGAGATGCACGTTTGGGCTGGAAACCACCACCTGATGTCTGCATTTGGAGTTTCTAACCTATTTCTTTCAGAAAGAAAAGCCTGAGGAGCTGTAACTACCCCATGCAGCTATGCTAGGCAGTCAAGTCTTCCACCCCAGCTGATGCAGTAAGCTTCAGTGGAGGATGCTCTTCAAGTCCTTAAATTAGCCCGTCCTCCAAGGAGAGGCCAATTAACATTTCAGATCAATGAAGGTTTGCCACTTGAAAAGTTCACAGATCTTACCAGTCTCTGAGGAGCACAGACTAGGAGGTGGCAGACAGAAAAGATAGAATACAAAAGCAAAATGCCTTCAAGAAATATGAAATTATTATTCGGCTACCTTAATGGAGCACTAAAACAAACTATTTGGATATTTATAGCTGTTTAGTTCAACACAGAGAAAGAGAAGCATATAAGAACATCTGTTAGCACAGGTGTCTTACAATTGGAAAATAATCCATCTAAAATCACTTTCCTTTCATAAGTAAATCATTACTAGTTAGTTTCTCAGACTTCTCACAGCTACAGATCTCTCAGAACTAACTGCATTTTAGTTCACTAACGGTCAGAATAATATATTTAGCAACAGAAATCAAATCAAATGAAAACCTTCCCTTCTTAAACCAGGCTGTTTTGCTTAAATAATTTCACATGAGGAAACCATACAAACCAAAATTAATTACATATATATGCATCAAAGTTGATAAGGAATGGGAAAATTGGAAAAGAAATCTCTCTTCAAATCAGTGTTTATCACTGGTGTACTGTATATAGTATATGATATAGTCAATATTTTAAAACTGCAAAGATTGTATGATGTAACCATACACTGAGTATGGAGTATAGAATTCCCATGTGCCATTGTATGATGGGCAACAGTTATAGTAAATGCCAGTTAGAGATAGTGTATGTATTTATAAGTTTAAAGCTTATCATCAACAAAGATATAGTTGGACCACAAGACTTTCATATGAAAGTATATCCTCTAAAATTTACCTTTGTAGCAAAGCGTTTTATTTGATTCTGTATTGGATAAGCATTGGCCGCGTTCATTCAGCCTAGGCGAGTTCGGGTGGTTCCAGTGGATCAGGGGAACACTCCAAATGGCACATCCTTTGGGATGAGGAATGTATGGTTTTCACGATGCACTGAAAGTTTTTCCCGGTCCCCGCCACCCGCCTCTCGTTACCGAATGAAACAGAGGCTGGTTGGCTAAAGAGTAATATATGTCAGCATATTGTTGGCCTGTTTGAAACACGTTGAGAGCATCTTAATTGTTGTTCCAACAGAATTTCATCCATAGTTTGTGCAACTCTCTGTACACTTGCTGAGCTGTTTACGTGCATGTCTGAAAAAGAAGGGGGGGAGGGAGGGAGGGGGGAGGGAAAAAAAAGCATGCAATTTTGTTTTTTGTTTTTTTGGTTTTTTTTTAATGCTGAGAACAAAGGAGTAGTATCTCTATAGCAACACAATAAATTCTATGGATTTTGTTGCCTTTTCCCCCTCCTGCCCCCAAAGATACCAGAAACCTTAATTTTGCCTGAGGTCAAAATGCATGAAGTGGAAGGGAGAGGTATGCATGAGTGTATGACAGAGAAATAGAAAATCCCTCCCACTGACTCTTTTTTTTTTTTAGGGTACAACCATGTTGCTGCCTGTAGGATCAATTACATAGCCTGACCATCCTTGAGAAATGATGATTTTTAAAAAATATCTATGTATTTTTTTTAATCTTGTTTTTTTAAACTTCAGTGGCCTTCTGAGTCATGTTGCAAGCGATACTACTCTGGGCACGTACATGCATGCAGATGCTATTAAACTGGCTACAATGTTGACCACATTCTTAGTCCATTCTGTCATTGATCCAATGCTGTACTTTGCATTTTTCTTTTAAATGAAGGTTACGAAATGTCACGGAGCCTTAACAGCATAGCTGGCATAAGTGGAAAAGCGATAGGACTATCCTCAGTGTCTGCGCCCTACAGCTCTCCTAGTCCAGTGAGACGTTCTTGGTCTCCCATCCCATCTATTTTGTAGCATGGATCAGTAGCAGAGAATGGTCTAAAAAGCTTTATTTTCAATTAGCCTGTGCTATGTTGCATATAATCCAGGTGACTAAGTCTGAAGATGCAATGTCTCACAGTAGCACCTGCTGGGAATGGTGTTACTACTGATGCTAGGTGACAACACTCCTAAATAGCACTCAGATGACAATAGGCAGGCATTCACGTAGTACTGGTGGGCCATACGCGCTGCATGGTATCAGTACCTAGGATGAAGGGTAGATGCACCAGATAGTTTCCGTCCTGGTGCATCATGCTAGTATATGCTTATTTTGGCTAATGGTGGATCTACTGGCTCTGTATGGAATGGGTTAGGCATTTAGTCGATGCTGAAACATGCCAACGATGGAAGATTTTGCTTTTCTCAGGATATTTTTGAGCCATAGGAACCCTGCAGGAGTTTGAGCAAACAAGCACAGTAGGATGAAACTTTGCATGGGCGCCTATTTTAAGCTGAAAGCAATACTCAGACACACTGTAGAGAGGTCTCAGTCTGGCTGACTGCATGGAAAAAAAAAATCCTGTTGAAGAAGAATATGGCTGCCTCTGCATGTAGCTATTTCACCATTTCCTCCTTCCTTTAAAACTAAGATGCCGAGCTTGATGTGAAAAGCGCAGGGAAGAAGCTCAAGTACTGATTGTATTCTTTACATGCAGATCTTTGCAAAGAAAGTCCAGTCATTGCTAAATATATGCCAACAGAGGCAGTCAGAGTGACCTGACAAGGCGAGATGGAGATGAACATTGATGGCTAATAAACATCTGTCTGGAACTGTGCAGGCATAGAAGACCTTCTCATTTGGACAAAGTTAACTCGCTCCATGCAGGTTTTACGGATGATTCTTCATGGTTTCGGAGTTGTACTAGAGATGCAGGCTTTTTCTACGGCCAAAATGTAACAAAACTGTAGAAGATCTTTTTTTTTTATCTATTTTTTTGTTCCATAGCATGAATTGCATGAAGACAAAAATTAAAAAAAAAACAAAAAACAAAAAACAAGAAACAAAAAACACTGCAAATGTATGATTAAGGAGGAAAAAAAAGCAGAGTTATATATTTTCTTTGAAAGCTCTTTACTTTTACATACATTGTTGTAGCCAAAATGTAAAACATTATAAAACTGTACATTTCTTTGCTATGGATCGCTTCTTTTTGTATACAAGATACAGAGTAATGGTTTTAAAAAGTGCAATCAGGCAGTCATCGGTCATATTGACCACGCCTTCACAGTTCATCACACCGACATGGAAATCAAGAACTTTTAATCCAACTAGAAGTGTATAAAAATAAGAAAAACTTTTTCCTGTCTGTTTTTGTTGGCATGCTTGTGACACATGGGACCTTCCTTCGGACCTGACAGTAACAGCTGGTCTAGATTTAATTTTCCAGCTCTGGTTATGTTGTATTTTATTGATGTATAGATCCAACGTAAAGACCCTTCATAAATTGTTCATATAAGTAATCAGTATGAATTTTAAACAAAAGAGGTGTTATTTTAAAACTGGGACTTATAGTACAAAATCAGGAAACTACTCAAGTATAAATGGTCTCAAAGTTTAAGAAACAAGACAACAGCATTGTATGCAATTTAGTACTGAGTAAAATGCATGCACAATGTTATGCAAAACAATTCTAGCATGAAATAAATTTTGTATCATGGTTTCAGTGCCTGCTGTATAGTGTAAAGGAGAATCGTTTTCCGAAGCGATCAGGGGTTTCCAGAGACTTGATTCTAAAATCTTGAATAAATACAGTGTTCTCAACAGAAATGTAGGAAAAAAGCTTGGTATTGCTTTGGTTCTACAATGCTAATTTTGGTTAGTAGATAATAAATGAAGCCTGCAAACACTTGATACAACTGATGTCTGAAGAATTCACACCATTAGCAATTTTACAAGGGAAGATTAAAAAAATCCTATAATTATCTAGGTATCTTCCTTTTCCCTCCCCAACAATAATAAAAGTTTGTCTTTTTAGCTGATTAAATGAATTCAGTTTTTCTTACTTCTTTGGGCCCCGTCCTTCACTTGTTCTTCACTGAGCCACAGCAGTCCACCTGATATGAAACTCTGAAAGAAATCCAGGTGTCCAAGTCGCACTTTATTTGCCACACAAAACATGCAGCACTAAGAACCGAGAAACACAAGGGGATTAAATTTCATTTTAGATCCTACAAATGACAACTATGGACTATGTATCAACAGCATTTTAATTGCTTGAGCATTTTTGATTAAGTACTCCTATAAAGAAAGATACACCTTGATCCTCACGTAAGGAACTTCAAAAGAGCTGGCAACCTTCTAGACAAGCTACGACATCTGCGATGGCTGATGAGAACAGAAAAGGAATAATATCCCTATGGTCTGGAGGAAGGAGAGATTAAACCCATCAAAAAACCAGAAGAAACACTCATGGCTCTGGTAAGTGCTAAATTATAAACCAAAAAACAACTGCAGATGGACCTTGTCTTCACAAATCTCTAAAAGGAAAATCAAGGAAGACCTCAAACCGTGTTTTAGGAATAGAAGAAAGGCTGAGAATCTGAATTTGTATGTAATTAGAAACCTCCTTTGTAGTCCTTAATGTATCATTACGTACTTGATTTCTACTTCAGTTGACTATCCTTTCTCCCAAGAACTATTTTTCTTCCACTGTTTCCATACTGTTATTCTCAGCTGACAAATGGACAACTTCTTATCTCCAGAGGGAAATCCAGGATCCAAAAGTTGCCTAATGAACAACTTTTCCTCTAATAATGTATTAAGAATCCAGAAACAAATTTATCTGCCCTATTTTTTATTTAACACTAACTCAAGGGCCCAGCATGAAGGCTGCTCAAATTCTCCATTACCATAAGGAACACTTACAATTCAGCCCTGTAAATCCCACATAGGACGTCCCCTTCCACTGCACTTTGCATATATATATATATATATATAAAAGCCTTAGCTAACAGGTTGGGTACACACGCCCTAAGGCAATTGTCATTTTGTGCTACACTTTACACCTGCCTATCCCATTTTCATTTAGGTACTCCTCTTAGCTTGTTCTGATTTGAGGCAACCATGTCTTTTGGGTGACTTCTATAAACCCTTCAGAAACAGAACAGTGCTTCCCATCCACTGCCGTTCGGGAGATGCTCTAATAAGCTTAAAGTCCATATGATGCCAGAGTTCCCCTGGCACAACAGTGGCAGTTCTGATAACACAGTGAAAGAGGGAGACAACTGGAAAATTTCAGGAGCTGTTGCACCAAATCCTGACACTGAATCCTAACAGAAATTTACCACATTATTACAGCTGCCTTACATTTTAGGAGGTTTGCTGGACTATTATGGTTGAAACATTAATTCCCTCAAGCCTGCCCACTCCCACCACAGATTAAAGCACTGAAAAGTATACACGTGGCTAGATTCTGAGCTCAGGCTTGCAATAATGCCACCGACTACTTCCAGCTTCATACCATCGTACATAAGAGCAGAAGCACATTCTCCAGTTCAGTTACACCCTGCCTGTTTCCTGC